ACCATCCAAGACACATTATCACCACAGAGACTTTTAGCAATGGAGTGACATTAACGAAGGTACTACAAGATGCCTTTACTTACGTAGTAGTGGAAGAGAAACTCACTAAAAGATGGAATAATCGAATCACTTATTTGCAAAATAAGATACGTGTGGTGAATCTTACGAACTCAGTGATCATTGGCTCAATGAGCAAGCGATGATGGGAAACAAGCATTAAGGTGGAACATTTGAATAAGAAAAACTAGACTATAAATAACTAAAATTAACCAATGAACACAAGTTAGGGTAGCCTTACAAGTATAAGATATGAATTAATACATAAGCATTGCATTAAAATACAATTAATCCCAAACCATGTAAAAAGAAGAAATTTATTAGAAATTCAGTAGATGTATAACCAAATATCTTTAAGTTACAACACTTTTAAATAAAGCATGTGAAACCACAATTCCCAACCATATACCTTTTGTTTAATTCACCATGGCAAGTATAAAACAATATCAATGCATAAATCTCACTTTATGCTCATACCTTAAACCCACATGAAAAATCCCTTGCCATGTAGAAAACAAATTTAAAACCATTACCATGCCATAATCAATACTTCAATTAAAAAGAGTATCACTCTCAAGTAGGTATAAAAAGCCCATGGGCCCTCTCTCATGTAAATAATATTTCGAAGGCCTTCCCATTACTTCCCAATATCAATGGTATTCCACGTATCACTATGGCCAATAATCTAAGCAAATATAATTATAACCCATGGTCCTTGCCACGTATAAGTATAATCTTGTGGTCTTGCCATGTAACCATAAGCCTATAGGCATCGCCATAAATGTACCTCTAACTAGAACCAACTTTGTGCACAAAGGTCACATGAAATCTAGTGTGACAAATAGACCTACTATCGAAGTGTCTCAATTTAGTTAAATCATCAATTTTTCAATGCATTTATGATGTTCAAGAAATCAATATGTAATATCATCAATAAACCAATTACTTATACAAAGTCATTTCAAGGCATGGTTTAATATTCAAACAACATGCTTAATAAAAGATGCAATAAATTAGAAGTAACACATTTCATTCTCAATTTTATCGCAACCACAAAGAACTTGCATAGCACATTTTGAGGTAAAATATTGTGAAGGGCTCGTTCCCCAATTTTTGAAAACATTAACTAATATATAGTATAGAAATAGTTTATAAAACTTTAACACAACCACAAGTGCTTTGATAATATCCTTCCAATCAAACTTCCACATTGCGGATCAATTCACCAAGATTAATATAAACAGATATCTATTATAAGGAACATAATTTTAAAATAGGCTTACCAACTCACCTTTTTGGTGGGATTTTTCTCACCAACTTTCTCACATAGCTTACTACCAATAGCTTTTTATTTAGATTCCTTTTTTTGGCCACCTTAGCTAAGTTTCAGCAACCATCTCTCATATATATCATAAAAGCCGAATCTGTTTAATAAAGAAGTAAGTGTTTAGTTTACCATTCAATAGGTTGTCCACCTTTAATGCATTATTCGTCATTTAACTCACTTCTAATTAGCCTATTTACCCCTGGTGCCTAATTTTCAATCTCAAAGAAAGCACTAAGTGTCTCAGATTCATAGAATAAAATCTCCACACCACACTCCTTTGAATCTGCATATGCTTACCTTATTAAAACTCTAACCATCTAAAAATATATTGAATATAATTTGGTTTATGGGACTGGTGCTCATATTTTTTGTACTTTTAAAGTCCCTTTTTTACAATTCAATAAAACTCAAATGCTTCCGATCAAGTTAATAGGGGTCTCGGATTACATGTAGAATTAGCCAAACTTAACTTGCTACAACAAGAGACCATACATTCTAAGTATTGAATTCAAATATGAAATTTCCTTACCCTTTCTTGCCCTTTTTGGATGCTAGGAATGAACTATGGCACCTCAAACCTTCTATTGGTGTCCCTTGGATATAAAGAGGATTCCTTTTTACCGTAATTTCTTTATGAGCTTCATGTAACATTTAATTAGTTTAAACCTTTAGAATATAAATTTAAAATCCTTTGATTTATAAATTCTTTGTTCCTAAATCCTAATCATGTTACCTTTTTTTTTTTTAAGAAGCAAATAATCATGTTACATTTGCATCGAGTGATCCAACTAATTCAAATTATTGACTATTAAGACCTCGATCTTGAAATGAATTGGAAAAACAACATATTTAAAAGTGGGGTAAACTCCACATATATCCCTTATAATATGACATTTTCTCTCATATAACACCTAAGTGTTTTTTTTTTCAAATAAAGCCTTGTGTTTTACTACTTTCGAATAACAATGTTAAATTTTCATTAAAAAAACAATAAAACCCTTATATTTAAAATTAAATTGTTTAATGGCATATGAATATTATTTATAGACCCATATAACCCTTTGTAGCATGACATTTGATCAATTTGGGTACTGTAATACTACTATATATCTTTAAGAATTTTGATATCATTACTTTTTACAAAATTAATAGCAACACTCTTTCATCCAAAATGACTAGAATGATCAATGCTATGGATGTAAAGCTCTCCATTGTTTGGAAAGTCATAATTGATGCTTTGTATTTAGATTGTCTTATTATAAATTTATAGTTTCTAATAGTCAATTTTCTTAATTTTGAATTTTTTTTATTTATAATTGAATTGTTTTGATATAGGCATGAATTGGAGTTTATCCAATATATTGTTGAAATTATCTTGAGCAAAGTGAATCCCATTTGCTTGAATGTTGCCAAATACCCAAATGATGAAATTATTATAATACAAAAATTTTAAAATTATTTATATAAAATATATTATTTTTCAAAGAGAAAAATAAAATTTTTATAAACAAGGGTTTTATTGTCTTTTTCATGAAAATTTAATATTGTTACCTTTGTGAAATAGTAGAATAACAAAAGATGTTATGTAAAAAAAAAATCTAAATGTGTTCTATGAGAACATATTATATTACAAGTAGTTTATGTGAAATTTACCCTTAAAAAGTAGGTTAAATTATTCAATTAATCCATGTACTTTACAAAAAGAATAGATTTAATCTATGTACAATAATTTGTATAAACCAAATCCTTATACTTTGTGAATTTGTTAATTACAATCTTTAATTCTAACACCGTTAAATTTAACCATTTAGTATACTGATGTAGCATTAATTATGGGTTGATGTGGCATTTGATTATGGGTTCATGTGACATGGTCATGTTAATGTGGGATCAATGTTGACATGACAAAATGCTAACATGGCCACATGAATTTAAAAAAATAATAACAAAAAGCACACTAACCTAAACTAAATGAAATTTAAAAAAAAAACAAAGAGAGAAAATTGTCAACCCAAGAGGCAGAAAAAACTAGTTCTAGAATTGAATAGTTGAATTTAAGAAATGTATGATTATGATTCTTGATCTTGTTTTAAATCTTAATTCTCAATTAACATAATTTTGAAGAGTTTTGGATAGGTTGAGAGATTTTGGTGGACAAAACAACAAAGTAGAAACAGAGATTTGGTAAGGTGTTGTTAATATGTTTTTGAGTTCTAAATGATGCAAGGTTGATTGGGCATAACTAGTTCTCTTGTAAATCCTCTCGATTCTTGTTAGTTTTTTACAAATTATAAACATATTACACTTAGTTTTCTTCTAGATATTTTTCATTGCTGGCTTTTGTTTTATTATGCAAACTAAAACTAACTTTTTGGATTGTTGCAGGAAAACCTTTAATACTTAATTGAATATAAAATAGTTTTTTCAATAATAAAACTTTTTTGCTTGTATTTCTTTTTTTTTTCTCTTTTATTATTTTCAAAAATTTTTCTGTTTTAATTTTATTTTTTCTTCACTTGACTTAAAATAAAATAAGGTGATTCCCATGAAAGAAAATAGATTCATGTAAGGGTGCTTTTGTTAATATGTTTTTGGTGGGTTGTTAATTTTCCTTTTTTCTTTGTTTGTAAATTTTATTTAATTCAAGATTAGCATGCTTCTATTATTTTTTTAATTCATCTGAAAATGTCAACATTATGTCCTATCAATTTTGTGTCACATCAATACATAGTTAATATTATGTCAGCGTATTTAACAGTTAAATTTAAATGAGACTATATTTTTTAAAATATACCCAATTAAATTACATTGCAGTATTTGTTTTACAACAAATTACTGTAATATAAGATTGCAATGTAATAACATTACAACCAAAATATGTAATGTGATTATAATTTAAAACCAATGCAATCAAATTGCATTACACTCTTTAATATTTTTAAAGACATTTTAACCCTTCAACTTTATTACTTTGTTAAAAATATTTTATAATGTTATAATTTATTTTTTATATAGATTTTGAGAATATCTTTTTATTATTCGCAGTAGTCATAGTGACTATTAATAAAATTTATATTATTTTTTTAAAAAATAAAATAAAATATATAATATAAAAAATTATATTAACAAATGAAAATAAAATATATAAGATTATAATAAAAATAAAAATAAAAATAAAATATATGATATTAAAAATATATTTAAAAATAATATTATATAAAAATTAATAATAAAAAATATAAGTATATTGAACTTGTATTTTCATAAATAGTGATAATTATAAAAATTAATATTATATTTTCAACAAAGTATTTGTAAATCAAACAATGTAATACTATCTTTTTTACATTTTAATAATTACTTTATTTTTATACAAAAAACTATAATATTATCTTCTTTATAATTATATTATATTATAAAATACTAAATGCTACGTAATGATAATAGAGTTATGAATTATAATTAATAAATTCACAAAATGTAAATATTTAATTTACATAAATTATTGTAAAAAACTAAATTTATAAAAATATTAATTGTATAATTTAACCAAAAAGTATAGCCACAAAGATAGAGGCCACCTTGTATATAACTCCTACAAAAAATGTGGGTTAAAGGTTGTAGGAGTGGGGTGATGGGGTAATATGTGAGCTATGGTCGGGCCGTAGCAATGAGCTGCTACATAGGGTTCGATAAATAATCAATCATTGTTTCTGTAAGGAAAGGCCCGAAGGAGAAGTATTTCCGGCGGGGATATCCAGGTTCGCAACGGAATCAAAACGGTGGCCAGTGGTGTTTTAAGTTGAATTATTGGGGTTTTGGAGGTAAAGTAAACAATTTTCAGCATGCCTCGTTACAGGGACGATACCCCTGCCGTTCGCGTGTATACGGTTTGTGACGAATCGAGGTGCGTAGTGAATACAAAGAAGATTATCATTTTGTTTTACTTTGAAGAATTGAAATTTCTTTTGATTGCACAATCAAATCATCAAAAAGCCCTAAAATTCAAAGAGTTGAAGTAGACAGTTATCTTCCCAGGAAGAGGAAAATCATCCCCTTTTGATTAATATTTTTTTCTTTATTTGAAAAAAGATATTTGATTGTGAGGAATATTCCCGCGCTTGGATGTGGCGACGAGTTGTTGAAACTGTTTGCTACTTATGGAGACGTTGAAGAGTAAGTAAGTTCTCTCTCTCTCCTTTTCTTTTTTACCTTTCCATTTTCAATTTATATTTGTACTTCTATTACAAGTTTCGAACTTTTGATGATGCCAATGACCAATTTTGTTTTGCCTTTCAGATGTAAACCAATGGATGCAGAAGATTGTGAGCAATTCACTGATGTTTATTGGATCAAATTTCGACTCATCAGCAATGCCAGGTCATTAAACTCAATCCTTTTCGAACATTTTCTATCCATACCCATCGCCTTATTTTGTGTAGTTAGAAAGGAATACACCCTTGTTCAAAAGTTATTTTGTGGATAGATAACTGTGCAATTGGTGAAAATTGATATATTTTGTGAACCGTTTCCTCTATAGGTTTGCAAAGAGAAAATTGGATGAGTTTGTTTTCTTGGGGAACCAGTTGCAGGTCTCATATGCTCCTCAATTTGAGAGCCTTGATGACACTAAGGATAAGTTAGAAGGCAGAAGAAAGGAAGTCCTTGCAAGATTGAATCGTAAGCTTTCGTTTTACCCTAGAAAGCTAACTTTTTAATTTTTTTTACCTTTGGCACATAAGGGGAAATAATTTTCTAAATAGAACTGCTTGCCACTTGTGATAATATATGCTCGTGCGTATTATTTTGTTATATTGTGATATCAGCTCCAAGATCGAAAGGGCATCCAGTTCATCACCTGTTCCCGGCCAGTGAGGCTCCATCGCTTGCTGGTTCATCTCAGCAGATTCCCAAGCAGATAAATTCAGGGCTGAGGTGAGTCAATGTTCAAATTCATGCTGCTATCTTCATCATTGTTGGCCTTTTGCATTCTTTATCTATATAAACTATGGTTTTTCCTCTTTATAGGGATGTTGGAGATTTGGAGTACAAGTCTCACACTAATATTGCTCCAATAACAAGAGTATCATCTGACAAGGTGTGGACTACTCTCCTATAATATCATTTCAGATTCTGCTGCTTCCACTTGTTCACTGTTCGAAATTAGATTATAAACTGTAGTGAATTCTTAGGTACCAAAGGCCATTAGCCCTTTTTTCTTTCTTTCTTGTTCTTTATTAGAATTTGGCAAGTGAAAATTTTACTGGCAGTGGTACGTGGTAACTTGTAGTTGGTCAAGACTTAAGATGAAGTAAAGTCCTAAGGCTAAGCCAGCAACTATATTGTGCAGCTTAACTGGCTTTCAGTTGCTAAACCCAATTTGGATTCTGTTAGGTCCAGTTGGCTGGATTAGGACAGAGCACATATCATTCTTGAGTATGTACACTGTCTCTTATTATGCACTGGCATGGTGCTTATTGACCTGCGTAAAGAAGACATAACCTAGATAACATTAACGAAAAAAAAGATTGTCTTTTTGTCTTTGGTGTAATTTTAAACATAGATATTTGTTCTGGCCACTGTTGCATCTTCTCACTCTCACCCTTGCTTGCTTCGCTTTTGCTTTAGTCTTCAATTGCAGACCATTCCTTTCTCTTCAGTAGCCTGTTATTCCCACCCTGGTTGCTTAATTGAAGGATGAGATTCTAATCACAGTGTTCTCCCCCACAAATTGCCCTTCACACAATGTCCTGAAGTGAACTATCCAATGGTTTCAGACACTCTTGCTTTAAAATTTTGTGGTTGGAGGCATTCTGAACGCTAGCTGTAGAATTCCCTTTATCCTTAGAGTCTAACTGTTCATTTGCTGGACAGTAAGGCCTGATGCCTGTTTCAATTCTGGGGGGATTTTATGCTTCTTTTTCGCTGTATTCATCATTTAATAAATTAATAGTATTTTGTTACAACCATTTGGCAATTTGCAATTTAAATTGAGCACAAACTCTACATTTGCTCAGAGTTTTTACCTTCTGTTAAATCTTTTGATTTGTCAGATTTTTCCAACTTTTTTTGGGTCACTCTACTGGAATGGACAGCACATAAAGATTCAATGCTCTGTTAATGTTGTTGAGCTTTTATTTTCCTGCTGAAGTTTGCCCAATTTTCCCATTGCTGATATTCATCTTTTCTCTTGAAATTGCTTTCAGGATTACTTCCCCTCACAGTCAATGAATCAGACAGTTAAAATGGTCAGGAACAAACTCAATAAGGTGATAAAACTCTACGGCATGATTGCCTTTTGAGAAGTAAGTTATGTTAAATTTTTCTAGTAGTAACTTTATTCTTCTTTTTCTCCCCAATTGCTTTAGATTCAATCAAGCACTGAGCATCTACAAGCTGGACCTGCATCCAAGAAAACAAGAGTGGACAATAGAAGAAGAATCTGATGAGGTTTCTAGGATCAAGTAGGTGGCTGGACATGAAAAGTGTGATAGTTTCATCTTGCCACAGGAAATATTTTTTTTCTTCCGATGTCTTATCCATGATATCCATATATATATATGTATATATTGTAAATCTTGGTACAACATAAACATCTTTTGATTTATTTGAAATTTTATATTTGATAATTTGAAATGAATTACTCTGGCATTCAAGAATTACTAGTATACAGTACAACTTAAATTGGTTTCTGACAATCTTGGCCTCAGCCAAAGCTGACAAAGGAGAAAATGGAGTAAAGTTTCACTGTGTCTGAATGCACTGGGTATGGTGTCCCTAGTTAACTGGGAATGCACAGTGTACAAGAAAGGCAGAAAAAGGAGGAAGGCAACAAGTGGAACATAGCTGGAAAGGAAAGGAAAGGAAGTAGTCGACAATGTTTTTGGTTTTGGATTGAGATTTGTCGACAGAGTCAATTACTCGTCGATCAGAGCTTTGATCTTCTCCAAGTTTTGTTGCACTTTGTGACCTGCCTGAACCAACAAGTTTGTGCATCATGCACGAGAGGAAACAATAGGGTATATTTTATCTAAACGTTAACAGCAAGGTAGACAACAAAGATAAAGACAAAGGCAACACTCCCAGCAAATGACGAACTTTATTTCCAGAAATGTATTTTTCCCTTTCGGTTTATTTAGTGTTGTTTGTTGTTTTTCTCTTCACCACTTTCTCTCTCCATACATGTCAGAACATCAAAGAGCAAAACTGCAGACTTGGCCAATGACAGTCCTGACTCACTGTTACTCGCTAACCACGCGGCCAAGAGCATCATCGCTACAAACTGACAATTGCACCGCCTGCCTGCCTTTTCTTCTTGCGAGCAAACACTAGCTCAAATAGAAAAAGGACAATGGCCCCAGGGAGATACTGTAATTAGAAAATTGAAAGGCACTGAGTCACGGACTACACTATCATTCTTGAACGAGCCTTCACCTTCCCATGGTAGACTCGGAACCCTTGACCTTGGCCATGGTTTAACCATTCAAGGATCCAATTTAACATCACTTTTTCTTAGCTAACGCTAGAAACACCTCAGACAAACGTTAAGACATGGGGAACACCTTTCCATAGCACTATGCGTGTCACAGCCACACAAGCAAAATGACAAAAGAGAGAGAGGGAGAACAAACGATGCTTTGCAAACTCCATTGTAAGATATCTGTCTACTTTCATACATTGTATGATGGAGTAAGATATTGCCGGCATGTCACACGAAAGAAAAAGTATAAACTTTTCATCTTTTGAGTAATTTGCTTCACAGTTTAGGATAAATACACTTGGACACCAGCGGTTTTCATTACCTGGCATACAGGACAAACATTGATAAATACATCACAGTCTTTACATAAGCACAGGTGCCTACACGGCATCAACAAAATGGACACCTCCTTTGCCTTGCATGCTCTGCAAACCATCTGTTCTTTCACGCCATGGTGATTCCTGGAAAAGGATTTCGCAGCACCAACTGGAATGCTGAGAAAGTTGTTTGGATCGACATAAGAGGCAGCATCATCCACTTCACTGTCTCCAAAACCTTCCTTCCCTTGTTCAGCACCCTGCGAGATTGCCTGCTGAAGGTTGCTCTTCAAGATATTAACAACCGACTCATTGTATTTTGCTCTGTAGTGCCAATTCTGGGCTTCTGTAGCCACCTGCTTTATCCTCTCAACCAGTTCCCTATTCTTGCGATTCATAGTCTCTAGTTCTAAGTCTTTCTCCCTAAGCTTCTTGCTAACACCTTTCTCAATAGCAGCAAGAAAAGAAGCCATGTGTCTTTGCTTCATGTCTCTTATTCCCTTTGTCAAGTGCTCTTCCTGTTTAAGAAAATGAAATGAATCAAAAGTTCCAAAGACGAGCGTCATACCATCACATTTAAATAAATATCCAATTAGAGAGCATTGTTACTAACTTCAAGTGTCATAATGTAAACAATATAGGCAGAGATATTAATAACATTGAATTGAGTAAATATCCTAGGTATATTAACCCTAGAATGACAAACAACCATGGGCATTTGAATATTGACTATGAATTACAGTGTCACTATCACGATGGAATTTCAGAGTCTAGAACGGCGGATAACTCCAATACAGAAGATTCATCTGGATTATTGTAAACAAAAATGTATTTAAGTGATTTTGAGCAGCCAATATCAAACGCGTCAACATAAATAGATGTTATTAAGAACTGCTAAGCCATAGTAAAAAACTTGGGAATTAAGATCTCCATATCAGTCAATCTAAACAAGGAAATAAATTAAAGAAGAAGAGAAACCTATAGGTCAAACTTTTATGAAAAAGAAGAGCATCTGACTGTATTTAAACTGTTTGAATTCTGTAATTAAAAAACCTCTGATATTGAAGAAAAGACCACAAGGTGACAGATTTTATTTTTCTTGACAGGCAATAGTACCTGAACTTTGATATATTGATCAAATTCCTCTTTCTGACGATCAAGTTCGCTTCTAACATTGTCACCAAGTGACAAGATCATTGATGGCCCTTGTGTCATGCTTCCACTTGCAGAAGTGACAGATGAGTTCCGCTCATCATCATCATATGATAGCCGCAACCCAGTTGACACAGCATTAGGATTTGGAATGCCAGCTGAGCGGTCAGCTTCCTCTTGACAAGCGTTATAATTCAACGAAATTTGTAGCTTTTGCTGCCTTTGAATATCTTCTGTTTCCCTGCCTCTTTTACTGGGCCGAATCATGGGAGTGAGATGGTCATTTCCAACATAATTTACAGGATCAATGGTACACCCAGCTGGCACTGAAAGTTTAGCAAAATATTAATCAGTCACCATTCAAAATAAAAGAAACAGAGAATATATTTGAATAGTTCCGCATGACAAAGTAGTACTTGAAGGGAAACAAAACAAAATCTAATTTCTTAAATAAATGAAAGAAAGCACATACAACTTCCAAATAACTGCAGTTGATTTGATGCATTAGTCTGATACTGAAAACGATTCTCATCCAGGAAACTTGGAAGCACAGGATTACCGTTGTTGCCTCCTAACATTTTCCTATTGTAAAACCAAAACTACTATAAATTATATAGCTCTCTGAAGAGTGTCTACTGAAAATCTGCCTGCACAAGAAAAGAAATAGAGTTAAATCTAAATTATCAAGCTATCAATAGTGAAAGAATGCTTAAGAATGCCTGCATAACAGTCAGATCTGATGAAATATTCAATCAAAGATGCTTCTCATTCATACTATGACATGTATGATCATTAACCTTGGGTCAGCCAAATGAGTTCAATCTTAGTAATTCAAACACATTTGACAGATCAAGAACCAAAAGATAAGACACTCTACCAAGTCATGTACCTATCTCAGTTTTTCGACATGTGTTCCTGATACATTGTCTTGCCACCATCCAACAGGAATAAAGTCAAAGGCCACCTAAGTTGTTACTATTACACAAATAATAACATATCACAACAATTTCCCCTTTAAATAGTTTTCCAATGTCAATAAAAGCATAGCCAACATTTTAACAAGCACATATAAGATTGAGCTACAAGGGATTTAAGACACACTTTTTGTTAAAGGAAATTATATGCTGAAACTTTGTAAAACAAGATAGGTTTAATGAGAATATTAATGGGAAAACTGTATCGAACTCATGCGCATATTAAAAAAGACATAACAACCTCAAGATGTTATTTCAACTATTTCACTACCATAACAACGATGGCTACAATAGAAAATTTCCAGTCATATTCTTTATAGCAGCTTCAAGTAAATTTTAAAAATAAGGAAATATGGCACAATGACTCCCACGGATAAAAGTTCACCATCGACACTTTTGACATCACCATAATGCAATGTCGTATTGTACTCTACATTTATGAGACATATGATCCAATATAAACTTTTAGACAACCACAATGCGCTACTAATACATAGCTACTAATCTGTATATTCAGGAAACAAACAAACATGTAACTGTCTTGCTCCACTAGGTTCACAATAAATGCTATTGCTAATTTTTATATCCTATTAAAAACAAACGAGACCACATGGTTGATTATCCAAAGGTCCATGCACATGAACATACATGAACCCCATTGATACCAACACGTAGGAAATCTTGGGTTTCAAATGCAAACACAAATATGTGAAAGAAGCAGCTTTCTCTAAGCAGCTGTGACCTGTAAAAATACTTAGAAACTCCATCAGAAATAGCAGGATGCAATAAAGAGGATAAGGAAAAAACAAGAAGACCAAGGAATTGCTCCATTGACTGACAAAACCTTCATAATTAGGCGCCCAAAGTAGATTCCACAGTGCAGAGGGTAAACAGAAGATCGTGCCGACGACTTAATGATGGTTTCACAAAATAAGATTGGAGGAAAAAAAAGGGCTGACAATAGATTTTACTTCCTAAACAAAGACTGATACCCTCACAAAACTCAGATTCCAATTTTTATTTTTCTTTTTGGGTTTCTTTGGTTACAAAGAAATTGCATGATATATGAAGACAGAGAAGAGACGGATAAACCTGGACAAGAAGGAAGACATTGGATAAATTTTGGGGAAGATCAAAACAGAAAACATGACATATCAATCCAGTTTAGACCTTCTTCAAAGGGTAATAATCTTATACAAACTATAAGATTAGGATCTCTTTTACGATTCTGATGAATCTCCCAACATAACAAAATGATAAAAAAAAACATGGCCTACAAAAGGGAAAAAATAAAAGACGGCATGAAAAATCCACCAATCAGAAACAAGTTTACCTGCGATATGCAAGCTCCTTTGGTTCAGTTCCAACAACAGTAACTCTCCAGATCCTACAATCCCAAACCAATCTTCAATCACCCAGAAAAAAAAAAAGTAAAAGGAGGAACAGATAAAGCATAGACAAAGGAGAAAACAAAACAAAATCTTGAGTCATAAAAGAGAGAGAGAGAGAGAAACGTACCTCAAAATGTAACGTTTTTGACGAAGAAATCAAAGAGAGGAACGGATCATTTAGGATCTGAAAGTATTGACCTCAAAAACCGAAAGATAGATAGATGGAAAGAAAGACACAAAAAGGAAGGAAACGGAACAGACAAACAGAGGAAATGAAGGGAGAAAATAAAAAAGAGAAGGGGAAGAGGCAGAGTGGGGGGAAGTTG